AAATGGGAAGGATCTGGGAGAAAAGATAGGCTGATGATGGGTAAGATCAGATCCAAAGGTGATTAATTTTCTAAAATATAATGACTGAGAATGATTGTATGAAACAATATGAATGAAGAATAGTGTGAAACACAATATATTAAAACTATACAAGCAAACCAATTAAAAAAACCTTCACACAAAAACCAAAGATATGTGATTCTCTCATGCTTAACATAGAAAAAGAATAATAGTGGAAATTTTTATTATTGACAATACAGTCCCAATTATAAGAGGAAAATAGGATGGCGAACCCTAACCATGCTGTGTGAAATATAAAAAAATAGGTAGAGAAAGTGAGAACGAAGGTTTAGAAGTAAGAATCGCGACTGTTGGTAGCTGTAGTCCAATAAAACCGGTCAGTCCTCACCATTTATCCATAAATTATAAAAAGAGGCAACAACTGGTCAGTTTTATTTGAAGATGCAAACACTAGCCAACAGCTCTCCTAAAGGAATCTGGTGGGGCTCTGGATACAATGCTTTTCTAGGACAATAAGCAAAGCTAATGGTATCTCTTGGGCACCTGGTGCAATCTGTAATCACTAGACACCAAGACATTTTGAGGATTCCTAATGGCTACAACCCTGATTAAATAAAAAACAGTCCAATAAATATTTGTGATTTTTTTTTTACCAATAATATTTATGCCTACAAAGGATCAAATAAAAATTTCAGGAACTAATAGATGACAGGGAGCTCTGGCGACCTCATGGTAAGAAGCTGCAAACATATGTAGAAGAGAAGCTGAAGAGAAAGCGATGCTTTCTAGTTCCTTTGGGAGCTCTGGTGGCCTAGTGGTAAGAACCTGTGCTGCAATCACAAAAGCATCCAGTTCAAATCCACCATCTCCTCTGCAGGAGCATGGGCAATCTCCGCCTGTGTGATTTACTGCCTCTGAAAACTTGGTACAGGGTCAGCTCTGAGTTGTTTCCAACTCAAAGACACCACCATGGATCCTTTGATCTATCTTTTCAGCTTTAACATCTATTATCAACCAGCCAAACCCCTTGTCACATTTACCAAGTCAAATTCCCAAGGAGGATTCTGACTGGTTTATTTCATTACCATCCCATCAGGGCAGAGGTTTTCATGCCAGATTTTCCCTTACAGATTGATGGCTGTCGGGAAAATGTGCTTCTACCGTTTGGAGGATTCTCTCTACACGGGGAGGGAGAGCTTTATGACGGGGACACCCCTGTCCTCCTGCCATCACGCTGCTCCATCCCCAGGCTGCACATGTGCACACCTCCGCTCTTCCAGTCTGTGCAAGGACAGTGGTTGGTGGTGCCTGGGTATCTGAGCCTGTTTCATTGTGTTCACTATCATTTAGGCCTGCCATCCTGCAGATCCAAGCCTTTCTCCTGCCTAACACTTATCAGTAAATATGGCAGTATTTTTACACCCTTAGCGAAAGAGAGGAAGACCTTCAACAAGACGGATTGACGTGGTGACTCTAACAGTGGGCTCCAGAACATCAGAGAGGGGGAGGATGGGGCAGGAGAAGGCTGCGTTCAGGTCTGTTGTTCATAGGGTCACTATGAGTCGTAGTTAACAAGACAGCACCTAACAACAACAACAACGCCTTGATTCTTTAGCTCTAGGAAACTCGGTGGGCACAATGGATTCTCTCTGAAAGCCTCAACCCTGCTCATATCAGCTGGAGGCTAGGATGATTTTCATACCTGAAAGGAACTATCTACAGGGCATTTTTCTTTTTCAAAAAAATTTCTGTATCCAGACTTCAACCAAATGTCTGCTGCTGGAATCTTTCTGAATGGACAGGAATGAAACTTACACTTGTAGTGACTATTTTAGCTCTCAGGGAGCTCTGGTAGCTTAATGGTAAAGAGTTGCACTGCCAACCCTAAGGCAGGTGGTTCGAATCCACCAGCTGCTCTGTGGGAGTAACATGGGCAATCTCCTGCTGTGTGAGTTACTGTCTCTGAAAACTCACTCGAGGGTCAGCTATGACTCAGTTCCAACTTTACAGCACATAACACATTCCATATTCTTCCCCCCCACCCCCAAGATCTTTGTGGGGTTACTTAAAAGCTAAAATTGTTGAGATACATATTTATAGTTGTGTGCCATCCAGTCAGAACTGACTCTCTAGTGGGTTTTTAGAGGCAGTAAATTACACAGAAGGAGACTGCCCATCTTTCTCCTGCGGAGCGGCTGGTGGATTTGAACTGTGTACCTTTGTGTTGGCAGCTCAACTCTTTATTGCTAAGATACCAGAGCTCCCTAGGAGGTAAAATATATATCTATATCTAATATATATATATATATTTTTTTTTCTCTAAAATATATTTTTTCTCTAAAATATATATTTTTATAATATTTTAAAAATTACATGTGTGTGTGTGCTTATTATTGTGTACCGAAGCATGTGAACTGTCCCATAGCCGACCCTCCAGTGGGTTTTCAGAGGCCGTTAGTTGCATGGGAGGAGACTGCCCTTCCTCCCCATGGAGCAGCTGGTGGCCTTGAACAGTGCGCCTTAGAGATTGCAGTGCAGCTTCTTGTTACTAGGCCACCAGAGCTCATATATAGAATTACATACACAAATAAAATCTTGAATGCTCTCCCTGCCCCTCAAGCAGTCACTGGCCCCCAGCACCGAAACACACACGCACACCAGGGCTGCCACCTCTTGCTAACGCGCTGCCTCTCACCGGGCCAGGCCGGGCAGGGCGGCGCACACTGACCTCTTTTTCTATGATAGCCACTTGTTTCTTGGCCAGCTTCTCCAGCTCGATGGACGAGTTGTTGGCATGCGTCTCCACCTCCTTCTGGAGCTTGAGGCGGTGCTCGTCCATCTCAGCCTTCAGCTTGTTCTCCAGGGCGATCAGCTGCTTCTGGTGCTGGCGCCGCATCCGCTTATAACCTGACATCTGTTCTCGCAACTCGTTCTCCTGCTCATGCTCGTGGATCTGCCGTGTAACCTGCATCAGGTGGAGAGACAGGACTCAGGTGACCGGACGCCTGGAAGACCCACGTTCAAGCGGGGCCCAAGGGGATAAAGATTAGGTGAAGTTCCTCACATTCAACAGCCTCACTGCATCTCTGGTCACTGTCATCAAATCACCTACTATGTACTGAGCGCTCACCTGTGCTGGGCGCTCTTTACGCATCCTGTCCTCACGCTCTCAAAACCAACTCCCATTCATTCCAGTCATTTGTGAAGGTGGCCTTTCTATGCCCATTTTACTGGTGGGGAAATAGAGACTTGAGGGCATTCATTTGTTCACTCAAATAAATGGTTTAAAAACTTCAAAAGTTTAGATATGTTTGATTTGGCAGTATATCCCTCTTTAAGGTCACGTAGTTAATCATGAGAGAAGCTGGACTTCAGGCCCACTTCAGTCTGATTCCACAGCTATTTTTTTATCATTATTATTCATTTTAATAGACATTTACAGAGGTTTTGGATTTCCATTCATTCATTGCCGCACTTTTCTCCCTGCCCACCCCTCCTCACCAGCTCGCTCCCCACTCCGAAGACAAAAAGCACAGCTCTATTTTTCAGCCCCTTTTCTGGAATTTCTCAACTTTAGCACCTTGACACTGAGTAAGGGTGGAGGGACAGAGCTGGAGAGAAAGACCCTGGTGAGATGGATTGATACAGTAACTGGGGCAATGGTGGTATGTATGTGGGAGTCAGTGAGACAGGCTCAGGACAGGGCAGGCTTCATAGGGTTGCTGTGAGTCACAGGTGACTCGATGGCACATAACAACAACAACAATGCTTTATTATCCTGTGCATTACAGAATGTTTATTCTCATTTCCAGTGTCTGTCTGCTAGATACCACTGGTCTCTCTCCAGACATTGCCAAATGCCCCCTAGGGAAGAGGGGGCCAAAAGTCTGTGGCGGGTTGAGAACCACTGCAATATAGTATCCCATGACTGTTATTTTTTAAGATTGTCTCTACCAGTCACATTGCTATTGTTAACAATAACAATGTTTAAAATTATTATTACTAACAATAACAAAAACAATGTTCCTGACTCGTGATCCATGGATGCAGAGTAGAACCATGCTCCAGATGGATTTCCAGGCTGACTTTTGGAAAACAGATTGCCAGAGCTCTGTTCCAAGTAACCTCTGGATGGGTTCAAACTGCCAGCTTTCCAACTTGTTATCAAATGCTTGTTTACGCCAGCTGGAGACTCTACTAGATACAAGAATCTTGACTTTCCTTTCAAAATAGTCACAGTATAATATCTTTTCTATTTTTAATATGAATTAAGAGAACTCACTCCTTTTAAATCTTGTCCAGCCCCTTTGTTCCCCATCAAAATATTTACTTGCTTTCCTAAGGGGGAAAAACATATTCTTGTGATTTTGGATGGTGAATTACCTTCCTAATTTCTCCTTAACTCATTCAAGTGAATAGCCGACAAACTGAAGAGTTAAAAAGTGTGTCGTAATAATTCTTCTTTCTGTATATTCTAAACCTTTTTCTGAGTTTTCTCTGCCTCTCCTTCAATTTATCATTCCTCCTTATCTTCCTGTCCGAATTTTCTGGTCCTTTCCTCCCCTCATCTTTCCTATCTGTTTTACGGGGAGAAAGAGTTAAAAAAAATTCCTGTAAATAATTTAGTTACTCCTATCCTGTATAAACTACTTTTTTTTCTAACTATCCAGTAGCCAATTTTACTGGGAAATGTCATGCTGCTATTAATTCTGTCTACCATTTTCAGTTTTGGGGTCAAAGAGTATTCTGTACAAAGAACAATTCGCTTTTGTGTTCTTTTTAGAAGGTGTCCCTGTATATGAGACCGAATCCTTCCTATCAGGAGAGTGTTGTTCTGAAATTGGAGAGTATTATCAAAGTACACCACTAAACTTTGAAAACATTCCAGGTTAAAACCAACTCTAGTTTTCATATTTATTTCTCTTTCCTGAAGGACAATCCCTTTTGAAAGCAGATGTTTCAGGAGTAAAATGAATAATCTACTTTGCCATCACAACAATGCATATTTATATATATATATATTTTTTAAATGAATTCATTTTCTGGTAACAGGAGGGAAAGAATAACTTGAAATACATGTGTAAATTTCACTTCCTCATGCATATGTCTTTCTGAAGTTGGACAGTTCAGGAGAAAACCCAAACCCATCCACTAGAAAGGAGTCATTTGAACGTTTCTGTGCTCACTTATCTTGAAGTATGGTAAGAAAGGGCCTGATTCAGGTAACAAGTTTGTGACTGGTTTTACCCAGAACTCATTTTTCCTTATTTTAGAATTCCTTCATTAACCAGATTACCAAAACTGGGGCACGGCATGCTCTGAAGCTCTGATGACACATTTAAGAAGTGTCATCAGAAGAGCTGACTGGCTGGTGGCCAGTAAGATATTCTCTGGATGGCCATTTCCCTAAAAGCTAAAAATGCCAAGGGGGTGTGTGTGTGTGAAGATTTCTTTTTTCTATCTTAATTGGGTGGGGAGGTAAAGGGTCTTTTGGAGGGGGGTGTCTTACAGCCCAGCAGAGCACACTTGGTCCAAGTAAGTAGCAAAAATGAATTATAAAGCACACCATGCCATTGTTTCAAGACCCAGCAACCTGGGAAACAATCATCTTATTCCTAGAGGGCCATTTTGCCTATCAATGCCTCCCAGGATTTGCGGAACTGCCTTCTAACCTTCCATCTGTCAAAACGAAATTTTCTAAGTTCCAAAGTCAATGTCCTTTTTAGGCACACAGAGAGATACTGAGTTCTGTAATTCCATGCTTGAGCTAGAGTGGTGAATTTAAATACAAGTAGAACCAGATGTCTCATTTGCAAACCCTCCCATGAAAATGAAAAAAAAAAAGTTATTTATACTTGTGTATGTCTGTGTGTTTTACAGCTCTTTATGCTGTGTGCTTTAAGAACACACTATTTGGTCAACAACATTAAAAAAAAAAAAAAAAAAAAAATTAAAAAAAAAACACCTAATTAAAAAATTAAAAAAATAATTTGACTACATTTTGAGATTTGCCAATTATCCATTTCATCTTTATAAATTGTAGTATTCCAAACAAGGTCTTGTGGTCCCTGAGAATTGTCTGAGAGAACACCTATTGCCAAGGCAGAAAAGAAGCGGTTATGTTATGAAGCCATTAAGGCCATCAACACCCAGGAAAGGGAAAGTTGGATAGAGCGGGAAGTCTAAATTAGAAACTGAGTTAAGACAAGGAGTGGGAGAAAGTTATAAAAACATAGTGAGTAGTTTCTACAACGGTCAGTCTTAACAATACAGGTCAACTAAAAGTGAGCAGTACTATCACACCTGAAGTATCTTGAAGACCAATCTTACTCTCTCACCATCTAAGCGACCTTGTGTAAATTTACCTCTTGTAAATCTGATTCTTCCTATGTGAGGAGGAAGTGCCAATGACATCCTCTGGATTGGATGGGGTAAGAAAACATATGTCAAAATGTCCAGAGAGGTGTATGATACACAATGAAATGTCCAATACACAGTTTTACTTGTCTTTCTCAGAGTGAGGTTCTGAGCAGTAGTTTGTCTCCGCCCAAGCCCCTCTTGGTAGCAGATAATGGAGATCAGAAGAACTAAGAGAAAGTCAACTTTAAGAAGAAAAACTGTACCTGTGTCTAGGTTGCAGATTATAAAGTTGATATGTTTAGGTTCTGAATCTCAATTATTAGTTATTTCATGTATCTGGAAAAATGTATTAAAATGCATTGAATCATGAAGGCCCCCCTTGACTGTTTCTACAGCTTTTGCATAATACCATGTTATTTAAATCCAGAAAAGTTTGGCTGTGAAACCTGTCAATTCATTCAAAGCATACTATGTGCCTACACAACCCTATTTTAAGAAGGCTAATAAGCAACTTAATGAGTGTAAAATAGGAGAAGGGCGGTTGATAAAGTTACCCTCTTAAGAGTTTATGGCCATTTTTTACAAACATTTCATTAAGATTAATTATGTGTAAGGTTCAAAATAATGCATATGAAAAAAAGAAAAAAACAAAATCAAAACACAGCCCTAAACTGGCCACCTCTGAACTTGGAATAAATGAAATTCATACCAAGTTCAAAAAGAATACAGTGAGTCACATTTTGGCACTAGAAGTCTGACATTGCACTCCTAAGAAGACCTTGTGGTGGGGGTTACACATTTTCTGTTCTTACTACACGTAATGAGGGATGGGAGGAAATTGTGTCTTTTAAAAGATAGCGTGACATGAAGACGTTTGGAACGCACACTTATAAATCCAAATTCTCCTGTGGGATCAGGCTGAAGAGACTTTGTTTGCTCTTTCATCCACCCACAGGTGACTCTGGTCATGGGACTGTGTAGCACAGGCCATCAATAGTGATTTTAGTGCGATTTGGAGTAAGAGGAGACAGACAGTGTTTTGGGTACATCCAGGGAGAAAACACACTTTCAAGCATTTAGAAACAGAATGGCAGGCAAATTGAAAGGGGTTCAATAATAGCATTTTCTGGTGAGGCTTTCATATTTTTCCTTGTCAGTTGCAGTCAGGTCTCCAACTCCATAAGTAGTTGGACTATATTATTAGCTGGCATCTTTAAACATCCAAATGAAGATTCTTTTAATACAAGATTTTCTACTGAATCTAGTAAAGCCCAATAAAATAATCTGTATGTGCACGGACAAACCATTCATTCCCCACCCCTTACATATGATCCTGGGGGTTCTAAAGTAAGAGGTTCTCTCCTGTGTCCCTCCTGCTAGGATGTAATCTCACATGGATTCACCTGTGTGTGGAGACAGATACATTCCAGAAAGTTCCTTCATGGACCCAGACACTGACTTGTCTCACTGTTGGGCCTTAGGGGGGTGCGGTAACTATCAGTGACCCGGAACATTATCAGATTTTAAAAAGACATGACATCAGGAGTAGCAACAGCTACTTGGGCCACTTTTATGGGTCACTAATCTCATTAAAATATTAGTCTCGCCATTCACTATAATAAAAACCCACGAAAGGCCCAAGAGGTTAGATTAGTCATTCTGAAGAACTACAAACAACTTCTTCCCCCTGGATAACTCATTGGCCCAATGTGAACTTTTTAAAGGAGAAAAAAAAGAAACAGAAAATACGCAAATTTCCAAGAAACATCTTTCCTTTTCTTAATTCTTTGAAATGAGTTCAATAATTTCTGTCCTTTAAAAATTATCATTATAACACGGATGGAACAAAAATGATGCTGAGTGACATAAATCAGTCACAAAATGACAGTGATGGCGTAAGACCACTAATACATAACGTTAATGAAAGGTAAGCTGGGTAAAGAAAAATGCAATATGCTAGAAGAGTTTGATTGGACATTGTCATCTGTTATGTGAGTCTAATCATCGCTAATGTAACCAAACAAAATATTTATGAAGGACTGAATAAAAATGCAGTATGATCTGTAAACTTTCACCTAAATAAAATGATTTTTAAAAATATTTTAAAATTATGATAAAAAGGAAAAGAAAGTTCTAAAGTTTCCTCAGAGTTTCATTTAGCATCAAGGTTTACAACCTTCCTTCCTTTACCTGTGTTACAAATGCAATCATACAGCCAGGCACAATAACATTAAAAAACCCCTCACACCTGGAAAGTACCAGAATAATAAAAACAACTAGTAGGAGAGGTCTGCTGACCCTGGCTTTCACGCACTTGTCAATATTTCATTCAAAAGCACCCTGTAGGGGGGAAAAATACACATGGGAGAAGACAAGGCTAGGCCTATTGAAGGTTTATGTAGAAGAGAGAGGCTCATAAAACAGTATCCGAAAAACAAGAATAATTTTTGGTCAGTTTGCAATTCCAAGATCCACATTCATCCCTTAACCACCTAGTAATTAAAGAACTAATTTTTAAATTCTTCCTTCTCTTTTCTGTTGTTCACTTTTTAAAATTACTCTGTGGTTTGTTAGTGTTTCTGCAGAAAAATGTGCAAAGGACAAATGAAAACAAAATAAATCCATCTGTAGAGTAGTGCCACCAACGAGGAGAGGTGGGGGAGGGCTTCAGTGGTGACTTGGTTCATCTTTATAACAGAACTTCATTTTTCCAATGATCTGGCCTCTACTTTTAGATCATTTCAAAGCATTTTACTTTTAGTTCATTTAAAGCATTTTAATCCTTTTCGTTTGGATTGATATCTAGAAAATAATTCATTAAATATATACCTATATTTAAATTAAATTATTTCTTACACTATTCCAGTGTTCTTAGTATAGATTTTTTACTGAAACTATCCTTTAAAATAGCATAGTAAGGAGCTGACCTACTGCAACGGATACTACATATTTAAATATGTATACCAACAGATTGTCCAAAATGGGGTATGAGATTGTACAAATACCACAGCCACTTTTGCTTTCCCCCTCCCTTCAAAATACTGGATAGAAATATCACTCAACCCTGCTGAACTTCCATCAGCCCCACCATGACTCCCAAAGCATTACATTCACACAAAGTGCTCCATGTAAAACAATTAATTTTGAGGCCAAAGCAACAGTCTATTGGCTTTTACTCTATTTTTAATTGAACATGGGGAAAGAGGCCTGTTAGCAAATGGAAACCCCATTCGAGACTGATACAGGCTGCTTTCTGGATGGGCATGCTGAAACCTGGAGGATTTAGCATGGCTCCTGAGGACGGTACCCACAGTCCAGGGAGGCCTAGTAGGGGAGAGGCTTCCATGGGGAGCAGGGAGGGAGGTGGTGATGGCTGACTGCTGGCGGAGGAGCCCTGGGTGAGCCCACATGTGCGCGTGGGAGCATCCGAGCACAGTAGTAGTAATATCTGACTGTGAGCTGGTAGAGGTCATGAATATATGATGTGGGAATGAGGGTGTGGCAAGTGAGGAAGGCAGAGAGCCTGACCCGAAAGGGGGCAAACCGACAGTGGCATCATGTCGGCTTCATGAGCAAAGCCTGCCTGCGGTGCTGGGATTCCCAGCCAGTCCCTGAATCCTCCCCTCCTTTCAACACCAGCAGTTCTGGATAAAGGGGCAAGGCTCACAAGAGACTGTGGCAAGTCATTACAGTTCTCTAAAACACCACACTGCTTCTCCATGCCAGATATCATGGCACGGAGATGATTATATTTTAATATTCCATGCTGCTTCTTTAGACACAAAAGCATACGTACACACACACACACACACACACACACACACACACACACGCTTAACAAGCACAGCAGACAGAGTGGACATTTTAAGATCCATCTCCCAGGCTGTCATTCTTTTTTAACATGAAAAATTGCCCATTAAGGAGATCACAAGAAACTTCTATATCAAGGAACTTAAAAATGGGCTTATTTCACAGTCGATAGGAAAGTGCTAGCTGCCACCCCCAACCCGAGCAGCAGACACAGCAGAATGGAGGTACCTCAACTTCCATTTTCCCTGTATTTGGGGTTGTGTGTGTGTGTGTCTGTGTCTGTCTGTTTTAAGAGATCCCAATCCCTGATCGATTTCAAAGGTGATCCACGCTATGCAAAGGCCTGAGGAAAGGAAGAGTGGAAATCAGGTTTGAAAAAATAGGACAAGAAAAAGCCATCATTTCTGGGTTGGCCTCAGATGATGTCATCACGGGTCCTAAATGGAAGAGCCGAGCAGTGTACACCAACTCTTCCTGTTCATGTGGCCTCTAACATCAATTTGGACCAAACAACTAATTATTCAATCATTTTTTATTTTTTTTTTCAGGTGGAGAAGCAAGATCGGGAAGGGAAAGATTAAAGAGAGTTTGGAGTGCTGAGGATGCAAGGATGTGTGTGTGTGTGTGTGTGTGTGTGTGTGTGTGTGTGTGTAGCGCGCACGCGCACGCGTGGGGGGCCAAGGGGAGGAGGGATAGAAACTAACTCTTGCAGCACACACCCCTTTTGCTACTACAAGGGCATCCAGCAATCACATTTGCAATAGTAAAAATGCTGAAGAATCCTTCTGCCCCTTTCCTTCCACAACCATCCCTTGCCTCTCCTACAAAGCCCTCCCTGCTCCATCGGGTGCCCGGGGAGATTCTTTAGGGGTTAAATGGGGAAGTGCAGCCACGACCATTGTTGCAATAAATAAATGAATGAACCAGAACGAAGGAAGCAAGCCTCTTATTTTCCACAATTATCTACAATGGTCGGGCACCATATATATACATATACAAATTTTTTTTTTATAAAAAAGAACATTTTCTCTTTTGATGTGTATGTATACATTAAAGACACACATGCCTCCATGGGGGGGAAGGCATAGTGCCCTACACACACACACACATATTAATATCTTTAAAAAATTTTTTTAGCATTATTTATTTCAATGAAAAGACAAACAGCTTTTAGAAAACAGGATAAGCCAGCAACTTCATCTAAAAGGCCTTTGATTTTTGCACATACTGCATATACAAATACACACACACACACACACACACACACACACACAAAGGTTTTCTCCCCCCATGCCACAGACAATGCTAAAATATCTGAGATGTGGTTGCTATGCCAACAAATTATATTTTTTTTGTCTCCCCCCTAAAATGAATAAAATTATTAGGAGGGAGAGGAAACATTCTTGACTCCTTTCCTCCCATCTCTGAAGCCGAGAGGCTCAGGGAGGGCGAGAGGCTGCCAGATGGGGAGGAGGGGAAGGAAGGCGAGATGGGCAAAGGGGTGTTTGCTTACCAAAGATGCTGATTTGATCGTGGCAAAGCGCTCCCTGTTCCGGTAGTGGAGGGCCTGGCTCTGGACTGAGTGGGTAGGCCGCGGCTCAGGCCTGGGATCGCCGTGGCCCGCCTCATCCCTTATGAATACATGATCCTGCAGAAATGGATAAAAACAAGGAGAAAGTCCAGCTGTGCTCTTTCCTCGCCGGCTGCCTCGCTCTCACCCCTCTTTCTGCACAAGCACTGTTGTTTGAAATGCATAGTTTAGCTAGTCCCCGCAGCTCCCACGGTACAAAATGAATAAGCAACACATTGCAGCCTTCAGTTAAGAATGTCAGCTGATCGCTAGTGGGATGCCTTCTGAATCCCTGGCAGGCTTTTTCTTTACCTCCAGAATCACATATATGCAAAAGGAAAAAAGAATAGAAAAAACAATGCAATGTACAGACTCCTTAGAACAGTTTGTTTAAAACGCTGGCACCAGATAATTCCTTTAAAAATGTCATGTCCGTGTCTAGCAAGGAGGATGCTGGTTGCTTTTAACATAAAAGCGAGCCTCCGCCTCATTCCCTTGAAAGATCTTTCTCAATTTCATTTTATTGGAGCTCGGTTCGGTAGGATCATCAGGGCAGCCTAGAACCAGTGTCGGCTTGTGCAGAACGGCCTCTCTGTCTTGTGCTGGGAAGATTCAGCAGTCACTGAGGAATCCTGCTTTCCAGTCATGATCGTACACAGTTCTAGCACCTTCTCTCTACAGCTTCAGAAAGGATTTTTTTTTTCAGATTTAAAGAGACAGGCGGACAATTTCAACCAAATGGTACTTTCACAAATTCTCCCTCAACTCAGCATAGGAATGGTCACCAGAGTGCGTAAAGATGGAATTTCATGTCCTTCACTGATTTAATTATGCCTAGGCTGTTTGATAGGCAAAGATGATTAATCTCAGTGTAATACTCAGGGGAGAAAAAAAAATCACATTCCCTGGAAGGATCATAATGGATGTTCCTTAAATGCAATTGAAATGACTTTTAAAAGGGGGGGAGGAAATGCTTTCAAAGGAGGATGTTCCTTCTCTGTAAAAGATGGAGTGGTCAGTGAGTAAGTCACTCTAATCTTTCATAAAAGATATCGTAACAGCTAATAGCTCAAAATTATGTACAACCATGAGGGGATTTTAAAATAGTATATGCACAGGATGGGGAAAAGAGGAAATAATTCTCATTGCCCCAGGGGTTTTAGCAGAAACCATCTGTGGGCCATCAATTTAGCATTTTCTTCATGACTATTTATTTTTTTAAAAAGTGTGTGTGTGTGTGTGTGTGTGTATATATATATATATAAAATCGTTCCTCATCTGAAAGCAAGAATCACAGATTTCTTAATATAGTAAAAAAGTCAAAGTTATTTTTGAGGGAAATTAAATTTTAACCATGGTTTTTACACCTAATCCAAGGTCTAAGATTAAATTTATAACTGTATTAATTAAAAAAAATTACACTTACACATTTAGAATATTTTGGTACGTTGGGAAGATATAAACATTACATCTCAAGTGCAGATTTTTCCACCTATTTACTGTATTTATATTTATAGAGGTTTTTTTCAAAAAAATAAAATAGGTAAATGAATATATAAAAAATATATAAACATATTTATTTGTATAGTTTTAAAATAATCAAGGGACACTGAGCACACCTGCTATATACATCTTAGAAAGACAGCCACTAGTCACAGGTGACTACTGAAATTAAAAATAAAATTTTTAAAAACAATTTCCTCACTCAAATTAGCTATGTTTCAAGTGCTCACTAGCCTAGATATATAGATAGTGGCTATGTATTGCACAGTTGTTGTTATGCGCTGTTGTTCTGCTCTACCCTGTGCCAATCTTATTGTCTCTGACACACCTATCCCCATTACCCCAGTTACTGAACCAATCCATCTCATCGAGGGTCTTCCTCTCTTTCTCTGTCCCGCCACCCTCCCGAGCATGATGTCCCTCTCCAAGAAATGGTCTCTCTTTGCAACATGCCCAAAAGCATGTCAGACGAAGCCTCTGAATCCTTGCCTCCAAGGAGCAGCCCGGCTTCACCCTCTCCAGGATGACTTGTTTGTTCTCTTAGGAGTCCATGTATCTTCAATACTTTTCTCCAGCACCAGTATTGTGCAGTACAGTATAGAATATTTTCATTGTGGAATGTTCTCTGAGGAAGTGCTAGAGGGTCAAGATGCACTGCTCAAAGTGTTTGGAATTTAAGGGGGAAATAAAAAACAAAAACCCTTAAAAGGGTCAGTGATACTTTTGACATAATTTCCTAGGAATTGTCAACTGTTATTTCACTGGGCGAAGAGAGATTAATTGTTGAGCTGGGATTTAAGATTCTTGAGATGAGGGCTCCGGAACCTGGCACCATTCTATTGTTGTTGATCTATTAATAAATTCCATTTGTCTCTAAAGTTGAATTTACTTAGTGATACAGGTTCAGAAATGTAGGAAGCTTTTAAATGTCAGCAAAAGAGGAGGATTAGGTAGAGATCTGTGGTTTTCCAGGATGCCTGAACAAGTTAGAACAACTCACAGTTTAGATTAATATTAGTTGACCATTTCATTAAATGCATTGATTAAGGGAGACATCAAATGATGTGACAAGAGCTAAATTTCAAAATCTAATAACCTTATTTACAAAAAGAATTAGTGACACTAGAACCCACCATTCTCCACATAGAGAACCTAATAAAACATATTCCATAAAAAATAAGGATAATTTAAATACCATTTCATTTTACTTCAATAAAAATTAGCAAAAATTTTAGCATAACAGGGGACCTGCTTATCAAGTTGAAAGTCACATTCTGCTTTCTCAGGTTATTAAACTAAAGGATAAAAGAGTACACAGGAAAGTTAAAATCGGAAATCATGATTTTAGTTGTTGTATTAAGTAAGCAACGGAGGCTTATTTTTAAAGTTTTCCTAGTTTAACAGCAGAATAGTTTGTGAATTTAATCTACTTTAATACAATTAGTGTTTAACTCTTTTGTTTCCCCCTAAAAGTTTTTTTCTTTTTATAAAAAAAAAGATTTTTTTTGGTTCTGTAGAACTGTTTTACAACAGAGATCAGCAACCATAAGACTTAAATATTATTCAAGAGATCACAAAATGTGGCAAAAAATTAGCCAAACAGCATCTGTCCATTACAATCTACTAAGAAATGAATTTTAAAATACTCATTTTCCTTTGTATAAAACAGTCAAAACTTTGAAGATAGCTTACACCATCCAACACTTTTAAAATGGGTAGTGTGACTTAAGAAGCAAGCATAAATATAATAAAGCATCAGATAAACTGTGTATACAATCTGCTGGGTAAATCACCAGTTTAAGTAGTTGCAGCTTTGGAAATGACCGTTATATATAGCTCTCAGAAGTTTCTGAACTGTATACATCTTAGATTAATAACAGAAAGTACTGGTTTTCTATTTTATACAGACTAAGCATCAGATCCACATAATCAAACTGTGGCTGACTCTGAAAAGAATGGGAATCTCAGAACATGTGATTGTGCTGATGTGAAAACATATACTGCCAGGAGGCAGTCGTCAGAACAGAGTAAGGAAACACTGCATGGTTCAAAATCAGGAAGGGTGAATTAGAGGGATGTGTCGTATCTGCATAGCTTTTAAATCTCTATGCAGAACAGATCATCCAGGACACTGGGCTCTATTAGGAGTGTGGCATCAGGATTGGAGGAAGACTCATCAACAACCTGTGTTATGCAGATGACACAACCCTGCTTGCTGAAACTGAGGATGACCTGGAGCGCTTGCTGCAGAAGGTCAAGGACTGAGACCTTCAATATGGACTGAAGCTCAACATCAAGAAAACAAAAATTCTCACCACTGGGCTGATTGGCAGCATCATGATAGATGGTGAACAGATTGAAATTGTTAACAGCTTTTGTTTGCTTGGCTCCACAATCAACACTCTTGGTACCAGCAGCCAGGAAATCAAAAGACGTATTGCATTGGGGAAAGTCTGCTGTCAGGGACCTCTCCAGAGCACTGAAGAGCAAAACGGCCATTCTGGAGACTAAAGTGTGCCTGCTCCAGGCCATTGTCTTTAACTTCTCAATTACTTGCTATGAATCAGAAAGCTGGACAATGACTCGGGATGATAGAAAGAGAATTGATTCCTTTGGGCTGTGGTGCTGGAGAAGAGTATTGACTGCCAAGGAGAACAAACAGGTTCGTCCTGGAGAGACTCAAACCAGGCTGCTCCTTGGAGAAAAGGATTCTGAGGCTTCATCTGACATACTTTGGACTTGTTGCAAGGATAGAGCAGTCGTTGGAGAGGGACATCATGTTTGGAAGAGTGGAGGAACAGCACAGGAGAGGAAGGCCCTCTGTGAGATAGATTGACTCAATGACAGGGGTAATGAGGGTAGGTGTGGCAAAGACAATAAGGTTGGCACAAAATAGAGCAGGTTTCAGGGCTACTGTCCATAGGACTGCTATGAGTTGTCAGTGACTTGACCGGCACATAACAACAAACGACAGGCATTAGATAGGGAGCTCCGGTGGCCTAGAGAGTAAGGAGTTGCGCTGCCACCTTAAAGGCAAGCAGTTAGAATCTACCAGCTGCTGTGTGGGGAAAAGATACACAGTCTATTCCTGTGCAATGTCCAGTCTCAGAAAATCCGCTGAAGAGTCACCTATAAGTTGGCTCTGACTCAATGGCAAAAAAACAGCAAACTATAAGACATTAGAAGGGGATTATTTACAAAGTATATGTATGCCAAGAGTTCCCTGAAAGAATGATTTCAGAAATTTAAGAACCAATATACTGCTCTATCTTATGTAGATAAAAGATACTGCTTGGTTATAATTTCTCTTTGAAACATTATTGTCTTCAGGTAGTCTAGTGGCAAGAACCTGCCCTGCAATCCCAGAGGTGTGTGGTTCGAATCCACCAGATGCTCTGCCGGAGAAGGAGGGGCAATCTCTTCCTGTACCAGTCGGATCCGATTTGACAGTACACACACACACAAAATAATAAAATAAAATTTAAAAAAAAACATTATTGTCCGCCTATAAATTTTCTTTCCAATATGGAAGGTCTGTCTCATCTCTGAGATGTAACTTTCTAATAAATCTATCT